AAGCCTGAATATTCCAAAAATTTCGCCGACACAATACTGTACATTTTAGTAAAAATAACATCTTAATTTTATGATGGTATGCACACACAATTAATATATAAGAGAAATATCAATAATATTAGGTTTTTTAACACTTACATTAGTAGAAGAGATCGCTGGGCACACGGGGATGGGGGGTTGGTTCCGAGGCAGAGGGCAGATTATTGGCCTTCACCTGTATCTCTGTCCACCTAGCAGGGCCTCCTCGTCAAACCCCTCGAAGTCCATATCCTCACTGTCACTGACTTGAGCTGGCTGTGGTGGGTGGGGGGTGAAGAACTCGGTGATGTTTTGTTGACAGCTAGCATTGATGTGGTTGTGATACAGCTGAACATAGGGCTCCAGGGATTGCAACAGAAGGTTATTAGACACTTCGTAGCGATGATTGCCTGTGTCTTTGGCAAGGATGAATTTCATTCTCTCAGCTAACTCGATGACATCCTTCACATCAGCATGTGTTAGTTTCTGCTCTTGTTGTTCTGTAACACCTCGCTGCTCACTGATGCCGCCATCTTCCAACATCTCGTCCGCAGTCACCTCAGGTTGTCTGATTACCTCCAGGATGTCGTCGTTGGTGGTCTCGGAGAAGCCTGCAGCTCTAAAACTTTGTGCAGCCTCTCTTGCATTCTCCAATGCCACAGCAACAGACTGAGCCTCTCCAGCCACAGGTTACCTCTGCCTCCCACCTGGGATACCCTCCAACACATGCCGCCACGGAGAAAGCAGCCTTCATGTTGCAAATCAACTCCTGATCCATGGGCTTGATTAATGACGTAATGTTAGCGGGAAGGAAGACCACTTTTACGTTGGGGTGACGATGGCGCGTTGTCGAGGAGCAACAAAATGTTGAATGGTACATTGTCTTTCACGCAGAATTTCTTGATATCAGGAACGAGACATTTATCAAACCAGGAGAGGGACAGATGAGAGAACATCCACGCCTTCCCTGAGGTTAGCCAGTGGACATTTAACTTGCTCATGTCCATATTCTTGTAGGCATGCTGGTTGCGGGCTTTGTGGATTACAGACAACTTCAGCTAAGCAGTGGTGAACAGTACAGTGATGTGCTCCTTCTGCATTTTGCGTCCCTGACACTTGCTAGCAGACTTGACTACGAAGGTCTTAGATGGCAATTTCTTCCAGTACAACCCCGATTCATCCATATTTAACACTTGGTCGTTGGTGTACTGTCCTTCCTCCAGAATTTTCCAGAAAAATGGGGGAAAATTCCTGGCGGCGGCTCTGCAACCCCCATTTTTCTTGTTACTGCTGCATAGAGTTCTCGGGCGTAGTCCTGCAGTGCCGAGTGTCAACCTATGTTCCTTCTTGACTGATGAATAATGTAGCTTACCAACAAACTCTTGGTCTTCAGCAATATTTCACCAGCGAGGCACCTACAGACTTGGTAATGTTCATGTGTTCATTGATTTTGCCGGCATCCTTCTTGATAGTGCGGATTGTATATTCATTCACTCCATGTCTGGCCAGATCCACCTGTCTCGTGCCTTTTTCTAACTCCATGACGATCTTGTACTTTACGTCATAGCTTAAGGCGCGTCGCACCTTCTTGGGCTTGGGCCGGCTTGGGCCAGGTAGTTCAGGGCTTCTCGGGGGTGGTGGGGGTCCAGCGGAAACCATTGTGTAGAAAGAAAAACACAAAACCGGTTCCTGGGCACGAGTGAATATACGCGGGGACAGTCAGACTGGCGCGGCGGTGGTCGAGAGCGTGGGTGGCAGAGGTGGCAAGGTTAAATAGACCAATCACAGCGCGCAGCGGAGGGGGTGCGTGGGATACGTGGACCAATCATAGTCCGCGACGTCATCGGCGCGAGTCTGACGTTAGCGGTGACGTCAGCGCCCAGCACCTTGCCCCGCTGCTTGCCACTTATATGATGGCATTTGCCGCATAAATAATAATTATTGCTTCTGGACAGGTGCAGCGTAAATGGCCATCCGCGTATAAAATATCCGCGTAAACCCAGACTATACTGTATATTAAATGCGTCCTCCAAAAGCTTGAATTTGATACCAGAGTTTAACAATTAATTCATGTACAGTGATCCCTCGGTTAACGAATTACCTTCCATAAGATTCTTAACTTCGGTTAACGAGCATTCCCTCAATTAACGAATTCCTTATGAGCGGCCCCCAAATTGTTTTCGCTTGCACACTAGCTGTGGTATTAGTCCGCCAATACAGTAATCGGTTCTAGGGCTTAAATTTCTTACTATTTTAGTAAATATCAAGAAGTCTTTACTATTCAATAATTTTAAAAGTCTTATATTAAATTTTTTAGTCATTTTAACAATTTTTTAACATAATTTAAGTAGAGGGAAACTAGCTTTTAGCACGCCAAACAGCCTGTCAACACACCATACAGGCGTCAGTCTCTGTGTCTTTTCAGTGAAGGTAACATCTTGCTGCTTCAGACTCTCTTCAACATAAATGCTTTTTTTCTGTGTTTCCAGTCAAATTATTGGTCATTTTGAAATATATTTTACATATTGACAATACAGGTTGTACCTCTCTAGTCCGGCAACCTCGGGACCTGACCGGTGCCGGACCATGGAAATTTCCGGACCATGGAAATTCACTCTTTTCCTGGACAGATAGTGACTTGCGCTTACGTTAGCACCACTTTCACTGCTTCGTGGTATCTTTGAAGACATATTGAAGGGTTAAATGTCGTACAGTAGCTTTTCAAATTTCGCAAGTTTTTAATTCAACGTTTTTTATTTGGACAGAAAAAAACACTACATAATTTAAAATTTTGACTGCGGAAACTCAAATTTCAATGGGTTTGAATGGCCCGCCAACGTTCAGACGACGTGCACAATTGTGTAAACAGCGTCATTTCTCTTATGTACAAAAGATTCATTATTGTTTATTACTGAATGTCTTTTTTATTGAATTAATGTTTGTGTGCAAAATGAGCAATACAATTCATTAATAATACGTAGCATATTAAAACACACGAGGAAATGAGACAGCATTGTTTTCGTAGATTACAAAACCAGTGACTGACTGGTTCTACATATAAAACAAGAAAATAAGACCCTGGTTGTAGCTGTAGTAAAATTAATGTAAAAATTTATATGGTTGTTTGAAGTAATGTTATCTAATGTTAATAAATGGAACAATAAAAGTAGCAAACCATTAATGTTAAAGAAAAAAAGTGAGACTGCGCATATGTAAGTGCGCACATGTGAAAAACATATCGTCATTACATAAGAATATGAAAGCAACACTTATTTACTGTTCATATATGTTTTAATTAATGTTTCTGATCTTTTTTTAGAATTAATGTTTGTGTGTGCAAAATGAACAATACAATTCATTAATAATTCGTGGAATATTAAAACACACGAGGAGACGAGACGGCTGCCGGCATTGTTTTTGTTAATGTTTCCAAAACCAGTGACTGATTGGTTCTACATATAAAACAAGAAAATAAGACCCTGGTTGTAGCTGTAGTAAAATTGATGTAAAAATTAATATGGTTGTTTGAAGCAATGTTATTTAATGTTAATAAATGGAACAATATAAATATCTAACCATTAATGTGAAAGAAAAAAGTGATATCGCGTATGTAAGTGCGCACATGTGAAAACATATCGTCATTACTCTACATAAGAATATGAAAGCAACACTTATTTACTGTTCATATATATTGAAGGGTTAAATGTTGTACTCTGTATAGACAGAGAGAGAGAAAGAGCAGCCGAACTGCCGGATGTAAACAAACCTAAGTTTCCCACGGCTTTGTTGTTGTTTTTTTTTTTTTACGGGGATTATCCCACCTGGGCACAGGTCACTGACCCACATTGGAGCCTGAGGGGCGAAAATGTAATACTCCTGGGCAAACTAAAATCATTCCGGACCACGGAAGTTTCCGGACCATAGAATGCCGGACTAGAGAGGTACAACCTGTATATAATGCAGTGCAGTGTTGATTTAAAGAAAATAATCTTGAATTACACCAAGAGAACTAAAATTTATGGGTGAAATGGCGCCATGGGGTGACTTCTCTTCTCCCTTCTCCACCCCCATTCTAATTATCATCATCATCATCATCATCATCCAGGAGCCTTCTACATACACACCTCAAAGTAAGTGTACTTTACTACCTTTTTTGTTGACTTCAGGCAATTTTCAGTGAGCTGGAACCAATTACCCAAAAACCCATTGAAACAATGGTTTTGGTTAACGAATTTCTCATTTAACGAGCAAGCTTCTGGAACGAATTGTGCTCTTTAACCGAGGGACCACTGTATAATACTTCTGATAAACTTCCTATGTACTTATTTTTGAAATAATGAATGTGTGTATCTTTATATAATTTAGCTAAATATCTTTCTCGTCAGAAACGGTCATCCCAACGATTATGAATAAACTCATTTAGAAATACATCATTACTTCAGGACTAAATCAGACAGGTTTACAACAGCCAATCAGCTGTAACTTTTGAGGAGGGAGCGGGACATCTTTCCTCAGCTGGCAAAAAATGCCCTATAGTTACCTTCTGTAATAACAAACTTTTGTGCAACCCAAAAATTTTTATAATGGGACTTATGGGAGGCATTCTGTATCCTCAAATTTTTGTAAACTGAGTGTTCTCTAACCCGGGTAGTGTCTGTAATGAGGTCAGTAGTAGTAGTTACATTTTACTATACAAAAATACCTGAGTACAATATTGCATTAAGGGAAAAGTATTGAAATTTTCTGATGAAATGTGGGGTCCAGACCCTCATCCCCCCATCCACCCCCTTCCTGGATCCACCCCTGTTATCTTGTCAAAAGTCAAAATCACTTGGACAGACAAGGTTGTAGCTCAGGAAAAAACATTCCCTTGATGGCTCAAATTTTATTTTTAAACTCATTATAACATCAACTTGGCATCCTAAACTTTAGCCATAATATTTCTTTTGAATGCTTTATTTAATATTAATGTATCATTACAGGATTCACACAGGCTTAAATGAAGCTGAGGTCCTTAAAATTTTCTGTGATGTGTGTGATGCAGTGTCAAGACTTCATCATGTCAACCCTCCCATCATTCATCGAGATTTAAAGGTATGATATCTTGCTGAGTGTAAAGGTATTTGCTTTAGACAGTTACATTTGGAGCAAGAATATTAATATCTAGATTATGGCACCAATTTTATCCTACAATCAACACTTGGGAATATCTGAACCAGTATATTTTACCTGAACTTTTAATTATACAGGTGCTCCTCCACTTGCCAACACTATACAGGTGCTCCTCTACTTACCAACACTATACAGGTGCTCCTCTACTTACCAACACTATACAGGTGCTCCTCTACTTGCCAACACTATACAGGTGCTCCTCTACTTACCAACACTATACAGGTGCTCCTCTACTTGCCAACACTATACAGGTGCTCCTCTACTTACCAACACTATACAGGTGCTCCTCCAACACTATACTGCCCTCTACTTGCCAACACTGTACAGGTGCCCCTGTACTTGCCAACACTGTACAGGTGCTCCTCTACTTACCAACACTATACAGGTGCTCCTCTACTTACCAACACTGTACAGGTGCTCCTCTACTTACCAACACTGTACAGGTGCTCCTCTACTTACCAACACTATACAGGTGCTCCTCTACTTACCAACACTGTACAGGTGCCCCTGTACTTGCCAACACTGTACAGGTGCTCCTCTACTTGCCAACACTATACAGGTGCCCCTGTACTTGCCAACACTATACAGGTGCTCCTCTACTTGCCAACACTATACAGGTGCCCCTGTACTTGCCAACACTATACAGGTGCTCCTCTACTTGCCAACACTATACAGGTGCCCCTGTACTTGCCAACACTGTACAGGTGCTCCTCTACTTGCCAACACTATACAGGTGCCCCTGTACTTGCCAACACTGTACAGGTGCTCCTCTACTTGTCAACACTGTACAGGTGCCCCTGTACTTGCCAACACTATACAGGTGCTCCTCTACTTACCAGCATTCAGAGGCATTAGTAGACATGTCCATATGTCTTGTTCATGGGTCATTTATGTTGACATTAATTATCCATTACATGCTTGTGATAGGTTAACTTTACCAGTGAGCTCCTTTATCCTGTGGCTTGCCTACCTTACATGGAGAGCAGAACCTCATTCAATATACAGTAGAAGTCCAAAAATCCGGACTGCTTGGGGATTGGGTCGGTCCGGATTTTCGGATTTTCCGGATTCTCAGGCAGTACTTTTAAAATTAAAATTTAAGGAGGAATAAAGAAGAGATGAACAAGTACATTTTGATAGTTTATTCATTATCAAATAAAGCATGCTTCATTTATCAAAACGAGCAGTTTTAAAGAAAAATAAAGTCAACACTAGACAAAAATGTAAACAAACTGTCTAATACCATGACGAGTCTTGAAATTCCTAAGCCATCCATCACTAAATGCGCACTCTGATTCAATGTTCATTTGCTCCTTAAAAGATTTTGCTTTGGCAATAAGCATCGGCCCAGAAATTGCCATACCTTCTGATCGTTTTAACAAAAACCATTCGTGCAACACTTTATCAAGATTTTCTAATTTGGGCCAATGTAAACTTTTTCTTTCAGCAATTTTAATGTAAGGCTCAGAAGAAGCTGTGAATTCTAGAATTTTATTCTTTGCCTTTTTTATATCATAAATTGTAGACTTTCCAATTTTGTATGTTTCCATTAGAACAGCATTGCTCACATTACATTCTAGTTTCTTAATTATTTCAAGTTTGTCACTCAAATTCAATGTGTTCTTCTTTTTCTTCACACAACGAAGTTTATCTACTTTAGGGGCCATTATTATGGGCCTGTACTCTGTACATGGAAAGAGTAGGACTCAAAATTACATACGTTGTCACAGTTTGATTGCTTGTTTTAAAGTGGCGATCGTGTGGTCGTTTGTTGTCCCTGTGCAGCTGTGGCATTCACGCATGCACACATACACACAAAAGATTTATAGTGCCTCAAATTTTACATTTCAGTTCAAGCTAATTACAAAACTAACAAAATTAGCTACCTATAATTTACAATTAATTTTATTATTAGAATTATGTAAATTAATTTTTTAAAGCAACTCCATTCATTCACGTAACCCACAAAAGCCCGCTAAATTTAAAAAGTTTGGATTTTCGAAAAGTCCGGATTCTCGGGTGGTCCGGATTCCTGGCATCCGGATTTTTGGACTTTTACTGTATATGCTGCTTTTAATTTACAATTACATAATACAGATGATTTGCAGGTACAGGTAATTTTCTTTTTGTTTGCATCTATTAACCTCACTGGTGGCATTGTTGCCAAGTTATACTTGTCACTCTAGCCACATGCCCCTAGCCCTCTCCCTACCAGACCATGTTATGGTTATTTTTCAATTTGTAATTTTGGGTTGATATACAGCCTTAAGGATGCTTTTGTTGTCAAATGAATCCCCCAAATTTGTATGATAACAAACTCCATAATTGTGAATTCACTTAAAATTCATGTAAAATCATTAGCAACCCATTTTTCAAGATTCACAATCAAAATTTAGCTATCCATGAAGCCGTTGGAAGTATTGGGACCGACCTTTGGCATATGTGGATCTCCCCCACAAACTCTGCAGTTAGTCAGTTCTCCTCCTCTCACTCCAAACAGTACATGTACACAGGAAGGGGGTTGCTTAGTGTGCTGCGGCACCTCAATATTTTGGGTATAAGGTGCTGTACATTTGGTGGTAGCATTCCCAAAACAGGGTGAAGTTAGTTTTAGGCTTAAAGATTTTATCTTATAAAATGCAACAGACTAGACTTAGCAGAATATAACTTCCATTGCTGGAATCCTTGCAAGATAGCGAATAATTTGAGTATGAGCATTACATAGTTTGCACAAGAGATAAAAATTTTTGTCCTTTAGTGTAGTACATTTGAGTACATAGTGAGTACAGTAATATGTTGCTCAAAATTATGGCTTTTTCACAGGAAAAAGTCTGTATAACTAACCCCAGTGGTCAGGATAATATGTACAGTTGTACCCCACTTAACGCGGTCAATAGAACCCAGAGGGTCCCGTGTTAAGTGAAATCCGCGTTAAGTGAACAACAGAACATATGGGATTAATTCCAATAGAAACCGGCCTGACCCCCAAACTCCACTTTTTGAAGACACATAACTATGTTGTAGTAAAAATAACATCTTAATTTTATGATGGTACATGCACACAATTAATACTTAGAGAAATAGAGAAATACAGTCGCCAAGTTAATGTCCATTCAAATAATGGACATGACTCCCTCCCCCTCTCACACTACACTGCCAGCTCTTCCCTCTCTGAGAAATTGTTGGGGGAAAACCACTAAATTTTAATAAATAATACCTCCAACTAAAGTTAGGATAATACAATTGACATTGCTGGATTCCTTGTAAGACCAGGAATATTTTGAATATAAATGTCATATATTTTGCACAAAAGATAACATACTTACTCAGATTAAAAATTTTATCTAAAAGTTGTATGTCTAATGCAAAATATATGATGTTTATATTCAAAATGATCACCAAATTATAAGAATTCCAGCAATGTAAATTATATTCTGACCGGGTAATTTGTATGAATTTTATGAGCTAAAACAAATATCTTCAGTTAATAAAAAAAAAAATAATCTTCAGGACACTATCTGTCAATCAAAGTACCCCACCTTGTCTCCCCCACCTCTTCCAACCGCACGGTCAGTCCCAACCCTCCCCCCCACCTCCCACCAAGAGAAAGAGTGGGTGAAAAAAATAAATTTTAACATTTTGTATTAAATAATACCTCAGATTAAAGTTAGGATAATATAATTGACATTGCTGGATTCCTTGTAAGACCAGGAATATTTTGAATATAAACGTCATATATTTTGCACAAAAGATAACATACTTACTCAGATTAAACATTTTATCTAAAAATTTTATGTCTAATGCAAAATGTATGATGTTTATATTCAAAATGATCACCAAATTGTAAGAATTCCAGCAATGTAAATTATATTCTGGCCGGGTAATTTGTATGAATTTTATGAGCTAAAACAAATATCTTCAATTAATAAAAAAAAAATATTCTTCACAGGGTAACAGATGGTCGGTCGTCCCTCTCCCCCAACCCCACCAACCATCCCAAGGAGATGTGTGGAAAACCAGAATACTTAACTTTTTGTCATAAATAATACCTCAAACTAAAGTTAGATAATATAATTGACATTGCTGGATTCCTTGTAAGACCAGGAATATTTTAATATAAATGTCATATATTTTGCACAAAAGATAACATACTCAGATTAAAAAATTTTATCTAAAATTTGTATGTCTAATGCAAAATATATGATGTTTATATTCAAAATGATCACCAAATTATAAGAATTCCAGCAATGTAAATTATATTCTGGCGGGTAATTTGTATGAATTTTATGAGCTAAAACAGGCAGTCAGGCAGGGTGGCGGTGGGGCAAATCTAAAAATAGCGCTTCCAGCCGGACACTCACCGCATATGTGGAAAAAATCCGTGTTAAGTGAAAGTCTACCTGGCGAGGCACCGCAAGATATGATAAAACGCGTTAAGTGAAACCGCGTTAGGCGGGGTAATACTGTACTGTATTTTTGGTGGTTTTTTTATTTCATTATTTATCATTTGTATACATTTACTACATTTGCCGGAAGATTCGGACAATGGCTTTTTCAAACAGGTGGTTCCCCCTTTTAGTCCGGATCTTCGAGGGTTCACTGTATCTGAATTTTCCAGGTATCTCAACTTTGACCCCTTTGGTCCTATTCAGTAAAAATTTAATTGACTTCAACAATCCGAACACAACCGAAGTCATTTGTTAGCATGTCTGCCACCAGTAGCACTATAACCACTTTGTTAAAAAAAAAATACTATGATAAACAATAAAATTGATATAATAGAGTATTATATTAGGGTGTGTCATAGGAGGGAAGATGAGCTAAAACTAATGGCCCATCACTTTTTTGGTAGATTTTAGTGCATATAAAAAAAAAATAATTTCAGTTTCAATATTTTGCGACCTTTTGCTAGGTAAATTTTA